CACAGCTGGACTCCAATGAAGGAGTAGAACCATCTCAAGGAGGATCAAAAGAAATGGACAGCATGCGAGTTAAATATGAGTGTCACAGCAAATGGCTGCAATGAAACAAAGAGTGAAAAATTTAACAAATATACGATTAAGTTTGTTAAATGCCCTGACAAAAAGCTAGAGTGGTGGAAACATGTTGGCTCTTTTAATGATTCAGCCACTATACTACAGGCTTTTTAATATTTCCTGCTTTGTTTGTTCAAAGATTTGGGCGTCCCTGGTTTGCCTTCCTGTTTATTCCCCACATTTTTCAAGAGCCCCCGACACATTTTGATTTACAGTTGAATACACAGAGCAACCAGTTATCTCTCTCCCACATAACTTATATAAAAGAATATAAGATACTTAATTGTATGCAAGATTTGACAACAGACTGTCTGGCATTTAGAGAATGAGGCAAGAAAAAAGGGAAAGAAGAAGAGAAAATGAACACAATAGAAAAAGAAGGGGGTTTTCCCTTGTGGTGTGTCAGTCTGACTGTAACACGACAGGGTTGTCAACGTCAACAATGTTGTCGTAAGTAGCAGAGTTGCCGAGCGGTGGCGTGGAGATGGACAGAGCGGTGCAGAGTGAATTGGAGATAACAGGGAGTGTGACAACTGAATTACAGCGGACGGCCCTGAGATGAGCTTTCAGCAACAGAAAAACAAGACAGATAGGCAATGTGGCACACTGGGAGGCAGGCAACGAGGCAGACTGAGGGCAAATATGAGAGTCAAAGGGTGGAGGTAAAACTAAGGGAAAGGAAGGAAAGGACGACATAGAGAGAAAGACATTAATGAGAAGGTGAAAAGGAGAATATTTCACACGTAAAGATGGGGGATATTCTAACAATGAGAGAGAGAGAGAGTGAGACAGACAGCAAGAGAGACAATGGGCATGCAGAGAAAGCATGAAATTCAAAGGAGAAAATCAGAGAAGGCGTACACGCAAGCATTTATTTGTCTTCGCAGTGTTTTAAAAAAAACAATTCAGAAAACTTACATGTGGCATTTGTGAGCCTGAAGGTAACCGACTTGTCTTCGATGTTACACACGTTGCGGACGGACACCTGGCACGTGTAATCGGCAAAGTCCTTGGGTCTGAGGTTTTTAAGCTTCAGCACCTTGGTCTCACCCTAGATGGGATGAAGCAGACAAACACAACAACATCATGCCAAAATAGAAGAAAAAAAATAATGATGAAACACATATATAAACATGAATCTAAGAATAAATCCAATATGACCACATTTCCATTATAGCACATAACATTACATCAATGAGAAAGCTCAGGCTTTTCTAAACTGGGCTGTAATCTTGTGTAAAAGTCACTTCAATTTTTGATGAGCTGCACTGTCATAAACAGGGTCAAAGACACACTTAGATAAGCACACACGCACACACACACACACAAGCACATACTGTGTTTGTATGTCTGACCTGATTATCAACTGAAGCGTCACAAATCTACATAAAGAGTAATATGAATGATGAATTTATAACGGCTTTCACATGGGACCATTAGGAAATTGAAAGTGATCTGATTGTCAGTGCAAAAGCAAAAGCTGAAACCATCCATCCTCTCCCTGACTGTTCTTAAAACAATGTCACTCTCTACTCCAGTAGATTTCTTTGTGCCACTCACGTAGACAGACACAGAAGCACTCTCACATCGCTTTCAACATCACTGATCATTTTTTCAGATCAAGAAGTTGTGTCTGATACTGTATAACTGTCTCTCTGCTACGGTGGGTGATGGGCCAACGTCGTCTCAGGCAGCACCCGGGAACAGCTCTGCCGGCTGGCTAATTGAACTCGAGGGGCACTGCTTTGTGGCTGACTGATGCTTTGATAAGTGGAGAAAAAGGGAGCAGTCGTGCTAACGATTGATAAAGACGAACACGTTTTGTATTTTCAAGCAGTACGTTTCACTTTTAGGATGAGGACTATGATGTGTTTGGACGAACATGGCATAATATCAAACAGCGAGTTTGGCTGAGGTTGATAGACTTGCCAAATCAAATGAAGAGCAGAGCTGCTAATGTTACCCTAATTCTGATTTAGCATCCACACAGTGGTGAAACACTACACAGACAATGGATGTGTTACACTGAATAGGACTTTTTCTACAGTAAACTGGTCACAAGCCAACCATAGTGCTTAAACAGTGTGTGTAAACCGTTAATGTTAGAAGGTTGGGAGGAATAAAAAATAAAAGGAAGAGAGAGATTTAGAGTAAATGAATCGCCGATTGAGAGGAGAGCAGAAAGCAGGGTGTGATGTGAAACTTGGCCGTGTGTCTCTGCAGTGCGTTTTGTGTGTACCTGAGTGTAAAGCGGTTCGTAGATGTCCACTCCGTTGTCCTTGCTCTGTTCGATGAGCATGCTCCCACGTTTCCAGATGAACCGTGCGGGAGGGTTGGAGTTGACGGTGCAGCGCAGGAACACCGTCTTCTCCTGGTAGTAACTGCCACGCACATCGCTGATGGTCTGGTGCACCGTCAGAACAGGTTTGTCAAGGTCTGCAAAACACAGCGAAAGAACAAAAGATATAAACAGGAGGAGTCATGCATTGCTGCAGGAGGAGAGTATTGGTTAATCCACACCAGAAGCTTGTTCATTGAGGCCTAATTGTGCCACACAGAAAAATGAAAAGCAAGAAAATCACATGGTACAGTTTTATATAAATCTGTATGCTGCTGTCGCCTTTACTGTGCAAAACATTGGCCATTTTTTGTGAGGCAGGGATGAGATTTGGTAACTGGGACACTACTGTAAATAAGGGCAAACAAGTGCTGTTTCTTGGCTGAATTGCCCACACTGACCAAAAAGCATCCAAACAGTTGCCTATTGATCATGGCTTCTAACGAGGACAAATGTCCAAACAATCTGTGATTTGCCATTTCCCTCTCTGGCTGTGATGTTCTCACACATTATTTTTTATATATTTCTTCTGCCATTTTTGTCTCTTTCCTCCCTCTTGCCTCGTTTCCCTGCGCATTTCCTTCATGGAGGTGTCATCTCCCTTTTCCTCCAGTGGATAGGATTGCAGCTGCTGTCACAAGCATGGAGGCTGCTCTCCCCCTGGTTTCTGCCATCTCTCCAAAACTCACTTGCCACTTTCACTCCTCATCACCATCCCTCCCTCTCTACCCCCTCCTCCTCGCTCCTTGCCTCTATCTCTTACAGGGCAGAGTTGAGTGTGTGCATGTGTGTGTGTAATCCCGATTCTTTGCAGCCCAATTGGAATGTTGCGGACTTCAAACATTATGGAAACAATTTCTGCCAACAGCAGGGTAGCCTTTTCCCCACTTTTCCTGCCTTTCTATTTTACCTCTCTCCTTCCCATGTTTCTCTTCTCTGGCCCTGTCCCTCACTTCCTTTCTCCTGTGTCAAACATGCTGCTCCCCATCAAGAAGGCATGATGCAAGCTATAGAAAAGAGGTGAGCTGGTAGTGCAGCTACGATGTTCAGCAGGGTCCCAAGTGATGGAGGAAAGAGGTTGGTATTTGTATTTAACACATCTTTGGTTGTGACGTTTGAGAGACACAATGTGTGGATAAGCATGCTTGATTTTTGAGTTTCGTTGAAAAGGGCCCAGCTGTCACACGAGGGCTGTGTCACATACACATGCACACAGACACACACACACACACACACACACAATCACACACTTAGATGGACCTCCATCTAAGTGTGTGTGAAGCCTCAGCACAGCATCAGAGCATTTTTGTAGTTTGAAGGTTAGAGCTCCGGGTAAAGACTGGCACACAAACGCACAGAGGCAGCTTGAACTCGTTCAGGTGATTTTTATGACTACAGCTTTCTTTCTAAAATAAAAGGTGAGTCACAAGGGCACGGTAAGATTGTCAAATTCGTAGGATGTGATAAAACTATCTTGGACGCCTTAAAGCTAGGTACAGTGTGCAGAAACTTTGCCTGAATGTGACAGGAAGGAAGCGTGAGTCAGAATGGGTACGACACTGAAGCTATCATGTGAACAATTGTGTCTACAGATGTTTCATCATATCATCTTCACAATAGTTTAACAACACAAAATCAAAGCTGCACAATTTGCTGAAGGGCTTTAACGTCATATTCCGATGTACTCTATGTATTTGAGAATTCTGACTGCGTTTGTTGTGATACCTGTGCTAAAAACTAAGCAATGTATAATGAATATGCAATTTCAAACAGATTACACTTTCAAAGACCTGCATAATTGCTTCGAAATCGACTGAATTAAAGCAGCGTCGTTATTCAGTGCTACTGTATGTTTATTGACAAATAGATGGTTTTGGAAAATTAGTTAGTTGTAAAATAGAACAAAATGCATGCTATAGTCAATATTCAGTATTTCAGCATTTGAATAAATGTAATTAGAGCTTTGTATACCGCGTCGGACCTGGCTAAGCTGCTTACACTAATGCACTGAAGCATTTTTTTGGTCTCTGTTATTAGAGATTTTCTCGGTGATTCATTGCTGTGCTCTGTGAAGTGCTCACCTGTTTCCATTCCTTTCATCTCCCCGTGGACACCCTCATTTATAAGATGATAACCACAGAACGGGACAAAAGACCCAGCAGGAAACTTAACACTGAGAAACCAGCAGCCTCTATAAAAGCCAGCTCTGCCAGGAACAGGCCATCTAACCTGGGCAGCTGTCAAAGATATCTGCCTCTTGATATCTACCACGTGTGCATGTGTGTGAAAGAGATATGGCAAAAGAGCAAGAACCTTGCTTCAATTTGTGAATATGTGCATGCATACTGCATACGTTTGTGTGTCCAAGACTTGCACAGGATTTCTGTATGATTTTCACAGATCATTTGCAGCACATGGGGAAACCTAGCTGACTAATGCCCCGATAGAGAGTGTGTGTGTGTGTGTGTGTGTGTGTCAGAGAGTGACTATCTGCTGTCATTCTGTCTGTTTCCTGACACTACGAATGCGGTGAATGTGGGAAAAGTGGAAAAGTGACAGACTGACAGAAGCGGATACAGACAAGTAGATTCTCAAGCACATCACATAACCTTAAATGGACAAACACTGTAGAGTCACTCGGACCACGTTGTATGATCATATACGGCATAAATAGTGTATTATTAGCAAACATTGAAAAACAGAATTCACTCTAGTATCAACGCAATGTATATTTGTGCAGTGCAAAAACAAAACAAACATCCCACTGGAAGACACACACACAGAAATTCCTCCTACTGCCCTAATATTAAAAGATTCATGGTCATGGATAAAACGATGACGATCCCTCTACAGCCCCTTTTTTTTCACATGACAATTGTGTTGTTAAAGCTTTTACAATCCAAGCTCCCAGGGCGAGTCTAACTTTATTTAGTTTGGGCCCTTAAGTAAATGGAGACACAAGATGAAACTGCAAGTGTAGAGAAACACAATATGAAACTTTAATGAAGCTTCTGATTTCCCCAATGTCCTGCCTTTGCAAACAGCTTATATCAGTTGCACTATGCCGCTTTCGTTAGCCACAGCTTTTAATGTACTGCACATCTACGCTTCCAAATAACAAGCTGCACTGAGGGTCTGGCATTGTTTTCTACATAGACACCACACAGTGGTGCTGACACAAAGACATTTTAGTTATCCCTTAGAGTGTGGCCCTTAGCTTTGACAAACACAATGTGGAGAAAGCCCAAAATCTAACATATGTTATAAAGTGAATACTGTGTGATAAAAAGTGGCCCCAGCCCTCTCCAACCCAATGATAGCTACTAAGAATATAGAGTCATTTCTGATCCCAGACACGCCATTCCATGTTTGCTCCGGTTTATATCATGTTTTAAAATCTCTTGATTTGGGGTATTTAAGGGGGCGGATTTCTCTTGTGATAAAAAAACCCCATCTTTTTGCTACTTTTATTTCGTGCGAAATTATCAATGACTAAAATATCAATTTTACAATGTTTGTATTGTATTTGTATTATTATAAATATATTTATATTATACACTGTTTCTTTCCCACTCATTAAAATCACATTTAAAAAAAGAAAACAGCAACTTATTCGCAGGAACTGAACAGTAGTATTTTTCACTTATTACTGATTTTTTACAGTGAGCAGCATTTGTACAGATTTTCATTTCAAGGTTGTTGTGCTTTGTTGTAGAGTAGTTTACATTGAGAGAGACTGGAAGTACGTGAGTGGGATAAAAATAATACTCTATTACACAATGAAAGTCCCAAACTGGGCTCAAATCTACAAGGTCACCTGAGTTACCTAGGTAACCTGGATCTTTGGGTGTTCATTTATCATATAACCAGACAGCAGCTGGAAACCGGAAACCTGTAATGTCTATAAAAACTAACACTTTCTCTGCTGTCATTTTAGAATATTATGAAGTCTCAGTTCATCTCAATTATAGAGAAAGTATGTAATATAAACAGATGCAGGAAACCTCTTATGGCAGCATGTGCTACAAAATTACCAACTTGTTCGAGTTTCCCCCTGAAGGGTTTGACAGAGTGCAATTTTGGTCAGGTACTCCAATTGTTTGCTCTTGAAAATTACGTTTCAAGGCACACTAACTAGCAGAAAGAATCACTCTTGTACAGATGTTGTTTGCTTGTTATCTGAGTAATCAGATGATCAGAATTACAAACTCTGGATGTCTAGTGACTACGCCGCTAGTGAATGCAATAAGAGAGAAGGCATGGCAAAAGGAACCAAAAACAGCAGTTTTCCATATTAACCATCAAACCATTTTAAGAGTTTATCTGTTGATTTCATAACCCTGTTCCAAACCTCTAAACCCTGATGTGTGGATTCAATCTTGACTGACAATGTGGAAGAAATACAACAGGCAATGATTCAATTTCACAGTTTGTATGTACAGCATCTTTCATAGACTCCCGGTATTATGATTGCATACCATCGGTTCTTCAAAATCACTTCAAAAATTGCTCCAAAATAACCAGAGCAACCATGGCGAGGATGGAGACAGAGATTTACTCAGGAGCAATCCATCTGAGCGGCCAGGGTTGACCGAGTGTGTTTTTGTAACAAGTTGACCTCTGCTGGGTGCTTTCCCCTGCAGGAGGACGCCCTGGTCTCCAAATCCTCTTTGATTTCCAATAACATGTCCTGTACTCTAATAGCTCTCTGCGAGTAGACGGCCATTAGGGGACCAAAGAGAAGATGACAGGTTCAATTGAGTGTGACCGTGCAATGGAGGAGAATAAGGTGTGGTGTGCCGTGTGTGTGTGGATGGTTGGGTGAGGAGATGTGTGTGTGTGTGAGTAAAGATTGCTTGGTTTCATAAATTCTGATGCTAAGCAGGTATCATGTTTATTAATCTAGAATGTTAGCCTGCTAACATTTGCCAATTAGCACATACCACAAAGTACAGCTGAGGCAGACGAGAATGTCATTCGTTTTGCAAGTACCAAAATATTGGACAAATTGTTATTTTGACCTGATAATGGCATCAGACAAAAACGTCAGAGGATCACCAAAGTTATTGCAATTCACCCTGAGGGGAACATGAAGGCA